ACCACCCCTATTCGTCCCGTGTGTGTTGTGAGAACCGACTAAGGGAGCAAACCACGCAGGAAAGCAGTACTGCGAGAAAATAGTAAAATTTGATACCAACCCGTCCGTGGTGTAGTAGGCCAAAACCTCATTTCTAAGGCTCCTCATTTCCAGCAGTAGACTATTTAAGGCTGTTGATGTGTGATGATGATGTGATGTGCATAACACGTTAATGTTACTTTTTAAAACAAATAAACAAGGAATGTTCATAATTATATTACTAAAATATTTTACAAAAACAATATGCTTTAATTGGTATTCCTATTACCAAGTAACGTAGATAATATTCATTGTTAAATAAATTAAATATAGACCTCATTAGTGTATTATCAGATAACGTTATATCTATTACATTGTACATATCTGCTAACTCGTTATAAATATAATTACGCTACTGTGTTCAAACTTTATTTTGCAGCATAATTAGAAATGTAGATTAAACTACATACTACATAACTCATAATGTTCTATTACAAAATTTAAAAGATTTAAACCTTAGGAAAACTATATTTCAGGCTGTATGGGCCGACTAGAACGGAGTAATATCACGACTTTAAAAATATAACCAGTCTAAAGAAATTCTTTTATTGTATTTCAATGAGCCAGGATATCGTAGGTACAATTCAACCCAAAACCCCTCCTTCCCCGTAATTCTAGGAAGAGTTTTGTTGGCATCAACGATCTAAAATGACATTAAAGGTTACGTCTTAGAGAGTTGAGAGGGCAATGCAGAAACAAAAATGCCAAGCATTTTTTTTAAATCATTGACAGGATATTATTTGGAAGCCATTTATTGACGATAGTTTTTTTGTAGATTATTCAAGCAAAATCTGAATCAGTGATAATAAAAAAATAAAACCATTAATCCAATCTGTATAAAATAAGGATTCACATTTATAAGAGAGGTATTCTTACTAACTTAACGGCAACTCTGCTAAGAAAATGTAATTGAGGATTTTTAGTGCCAAAAATTTTAATGAAGCTATATTTTAGAGGATTCGAATACTGAGCAATAAAGTAGGTAAAGCTCCATTTTACATTTTATGAGATACTGAAGTACTCAATCATTGTTAATGCATGGCATAATGCATTTTCGCATAAATCCTTACATTTACAGCTGTTGTTTTTCAAGGGATTACGTATATGCTCGTAAATTGTTTGGTGAACTTTAGTCATTTTGTGAGATGTGTCTCATTGAATACTTTTGTATTTTCCTTCGAGTAGGTAATTTAATCTCTTTGGTCTAGTTTAAAAAAATGCCATCAAATACATCATCATGATGTTTCGGCAGATACAAATATAGCTAATATGTATGAATTTTGAGCGATTTTCATTTTGACGATAATTTTATTAACAGTAAGAGATTTTGCTCCTCCTCGGGGACGTAGGAGCCAGGAGTATTTGGTGATTCCACTAAAAATCACCCTGACGGCCGGCTTCAGGTATCCTACTCTGGGAGGACCCGAACTATGATATTTCAGGTCCTCCCCGAATTGACACGATATAACGAACTTTGTAAATCTTGTTCTGAAAATTTCCGTTCGGACTAGAACATACTCGTATATTTAAATATATTGTGGCTTTCAAGGTTCACTTTGCTATGAAAGATTTTTAATAACATTTTTTTTTTAATGTTGCCAAATGTCCCTTTCTTGTGCGTGCGCTGATAATTGCGTCATTATTAGAATAATAAGCAAAAATAATTAATTTACTAACGATACTCTATGTGCATTTACATAAATATTCATTAAATATTCAACCTTAAGAGGACAGATTTAATATCATTTTTTAAATATATACATCTATACATCTTAAGGAGTTTAAATCTGAACGATTGTCAAGCCTCCTTTGTGACAAATTTGATGCGGGAAATCCCGGATAGGCTCAAAATTCTTTTGCTGAAAGAACTCTAACCGTCTTATTATAAAAACTTCCATAAGTACCAGGTTTAAACCAGGACTAAAAGGTCTAAGCTTATTACGGTACTAACGTTAGTTCTTTCATTCGTATTACAAATCGTAGACCAACAAAGGACTACTTAGTACCAAAGATCGTCTCTGGTCTAAATATTTTCCACAGATTATAAGCAACAAAATATTTAAATTATTCATTCATTCGTTCAGCGTTCTACGCGCCTTTCCTTTTTAACAAAATGTTGTTACGAAATATAAAGAAAAATATTTTATGAATTGTTATTTGTAGGGGTAAAATTTAAAGTTTAGTTATTTAAAGGTATTTAAATATTCCGACTTGTATTTTTTTTAATGCATGTTCACAATCCAATTATTAATGTTATGTTTTGGAACAACTACCGAGCTAGCACGTATGAGTATAACGGAGTGAACTGGACGGCGCGCGTAATTCGAGTAATGTAATCGAAATGTTTACGTGTTTAGTGATGCAGTGGTAAGTAAAAGTTAACAATAGTGGAGAGTATAATATGATGACAATTTACTAAACATAAATGTTTAGTAAATTGTCACTGATGTGCCTGTTACTGATGACAAATACAACAACAACAATATTTGAAGACCCTGATGCTGGCCATAGCTCAATAGAACCAATTGTAGTGATTATAAGTGATGAAAATGTAGAGTCCAGTATTGAAGAAAAACAAGGTATAATAATTTCATAATAAGAAAAAATACAGGTTAGTTTCATTAATATTATTTATTATTTTCAGTGATCTACACCAGTGAAACTGTGCAAACAAAATATATTTTATTTCAATCAAGGCACCACGAAAATATAAATAAAGCTTACCACACTAAAATAATAAGTCTAATTATTACATAATAATATAGAATTTATTTTCCAGAAATGAAGAAGGGTGTCAAGCTATTATAAATAGTAATACAGAATTTAAAAAAAAAAGGAGCTTGATATGTTGGAAGCCCAGCACTTCTATCAAGTTGAAATATCAAAATTAAAAATTAAAAAGCTACAATTACAAATAGCACTATTGGAGACTCAGATAAAAACTAACACTATTACTAAAGATTAAAATGTAAGTTACACTTTTTGACTGATATCAATACAATTTATAATTAAAATAAGTATAAATTGTTGAGTCAAGAGTTTCAAATAAATAACTAATGTAATCTATCTCCTATTGAATAAAATACTTCAAATATATTGACAATCACATAATAATATAACATAATTATTTTCAGGTTATATATTCCCCATAATAATCATTAGTATTATAGGACTGATTTTAGCATTTTCTTAAAGATAAAAGTTACTTTTAATTTATGTTTGATTTATTAATAATTATCTTTATGAAAAAAGGATCATTAGCTTTTATTTTAGCATTCATATAATACATGTATTAAACATATACATATATGAATATCACAAAAAAGAAATATAGTTATATATAATAAATGTTATTTTATGAAAAGTGAGTTTCAATAAACTGCCTTCTAATATTCCCTCGTAGTGAATTTTGAACTGGCTGCACTGACATCATCTATTACTTATAACTGGCTGAGATACGCCATGTAAGTCACTAGTATCGTCTTGAATCTGTAAAAAAAACAATTATAAAGTAATACATCATTGATGACGCACATTAGCCATAATTACATTACAAGGTACCAACTTACTTCATGGCGAGCCCAGTTGCGTAGTGCGCAAGCTACTTGCATTTCGGGGCTTAACGGACATCCTCGAGGATCGTGGGATAAATCCTCACGTAATAAATCGACAATCCTTTCGCGAAAACGTTTACTAAATCTATATTTATACTGAAAATCTTCATCAGGTAATTCAAATGGATTTCGACGCTGACGAACTCTGTTCGGTCCCCGGGAACTTTCTAGTATATCCAACACATTCAAATCTTCCAAATCAAACATATCAATTGCATCAATATCCATTTTTTGGTTTCTGATCACAAATTCCTTTCCGAAAGCGAACCTCAAAATTAAGAATTTGACGTTTGACAATTTAGTACCATAGTTAAACTAGGGGTCACGATGGTCTAACTTTGATACCATAGATAGTTCTAGGACTAGCGATAAACTTCGTTTTGTAATAACGTTTATTCAAGGTCATGGTTTAAACCTAGTACTAAAGCCGGTACTTTTTTAAGTCCACGTTTTATAATAAGACGGTAAGTGTGTTCTCGACTTTTTCGTTTGTAGTTTGTAAGTACCTTCGCGACCGAACTCATTGGGCAGACACGAAACTTTTGTAACTCATCAAAGGAAATTCGTTATATTGATTGTTGATAAAAACAACCCTTATGCTAAATATATTATCTTACTGTAAACATGTTAATGTTTAATTATACATTTCAAAGAACCGTTTTAATGTAACATATATAAATATTCGTCGGGCGATAGACCACATGAAAATGACCTATCATATTTTTTATTTACAAAAAACTTAGTTTACCCCTTTTCCTATTTTTCTTCTCTTTCTTGTTGAGAAGGCATTAACGGGCTATTGTGTTATTAATAATAATCTATATATATTTATAGACGTTACCGTAAAACCAATATTTTCACCTCGAAACGTGTAAGTTTGACCTTGGATTGGTGACCTTTAGAGGTCATATCTAATTGTAATTTTTTCCTCTTTTTTGAATCTCGGACTCTAAAATCTTCAATCCCATTTGAAAATTGCCCTTGACCCTTGAAGGTTGGGATCAAGGTCAATTTCTAGGTCACCAATGGATAGACAGGGAAAATTCCTGTAACTTTTGTGTTAACGTTTTTCTGAAAAATGTATCTCTAGCAAATTGAAAACTCATAGTTTAATTCACTAAATCCTTTTTTCAGCTAACTTTGTGCTTATATCCTTTTAGTAGAACGATAACTGTCAAATACGTCAATGTCAAATTGGTCATAATTATATCCTACTGTATCGAGTATTTTTAATAATTAACTAAGTAATTTAGTTTCGTATACAATATTAAATGTTTAATAAACATATTTTAACTATATTGAAAGTGAATGGATTCAGGTAAGAATAGAAACGAATAAGAATATAAATAGGGTTCGTATTGGAATGGTTCTGAATGAAATTCGAATGAATTGAAATAGGCATTATTTATTCAGATGTTCGAGTGAAATAACTATTGGAGTCGGTTATAGATGCAGGCTAGACTAAATCATACGACTACATACATATCACTAGTCTACATTTATTTGAGTTTAGGATAATAATATATCTCACACAAGACCGTTTGATCCCAAACTAGGCAGAGCCTATGGTAACCAGACTGCTGATAAACATACTTATATATTTTTAAATACATACACATTATAGGTAAATTACACCCAGACACAGAAGAAACGACCGTGCTCATCATACATATTTGTCCTGGGTGGGAATCAAACCTTCGACCACTGTCGCAGGATACCTCTTATTTACATGGTAGAATTTTTATATGACCAAGGTGGTGGGGAAAAACCTAACCGATATTACTAACCGTTTTAAAGATATAAAACACCCATGATGAAAGTCAATTTACTTACGTGGGGTTCTCACGATCGTATAAACTGACAGAATTTAAAAAAACCTGATACCTATTCATCGTTAATGATTTACTAAATGTTATTGAATATACTACTAATAGCTAGTGACTCTGATGAACTAAAAATTAATGTTCAATATACTATATAATATAATAAACTTTAATGTCTTAACATTTGTTAAAAATCATTTACGTTTTTACCTACAGACTGGAACACCTCTTCCAAACAAATCAACGGTATCAACTTCGATAATTATATTGCACAACGACGTTCGTATAATTCTGTAGTATTTGTACACAAAAAATATTTAGAGGAACCTGAACCAGCCGAAGAAAAGGTACAAAAAGTCAAAGCAAAAAGAGAAAAGAAGCATAAACAAGAAAAGAATCAAGACAAATGTCAACAGTTCACAAGCGTTAGCATACCAGACAACAGATTTAAAAGTGTTAAAACTAATAAAATCTCTTGCAATAATAATACTGTTTTAGACCAAACCATAAAATTTGCTAAAGATATAGTCCCACTAATAATCCCCCCTGATGAAGATAAATCAAACGTATTTTATACAATTAAAACATCTAAAAAGCATACGCGGAAGGAGAAAAAACCTCCAGCTTCAAATTTAGATCATCACCAGCTGGCACAAGAACAGCAAGAATCAAAAAAATTAATAGAAACATTTAGAAAAGTTAAGAAAGAAAGTTTTAGTGTTCATGAGTCTATTAGTCATTCTTCAAGTAATACATTAGAGGATTTAAACATTGATCAATCCCTGTGTTGTACGTTTTCTGAGGTATCAGAAAAAAAGTATCACAAAAAAGACAAGCATCATTCTAAAACATCCAGTCATGATCAGAAATTTGCAATATCAGAATCATTTGAAGCTGTTGCCACCGAAAATATTGGTGGTGATGCAAGAATAAAAATACATCTTATGAATGAAAAAGACAAACATTTTCTTAGTGAAACTATCAAAGAGCCTGTTTTAAAAGCAATTAGGAATTGTATCTTAGAGTTAAACAATAATAATACAAATACAGAATTGCCTGCTATTCAAAAATACATAAAGACCAACTCTCAAAAACTAGATAATATTCTAGATAAATTAACATCCATTGAAAGAAAGTTAGAAAGTTACGAAATAAACATAGGTAACCAAGAAAAACAATTAAATATTCATGAGCACAAATTGAATACTCACAAAAATAAGTTTGATTCCCATGAAATAAAGTTAGATTCCCATGAAGCGAAGTTACATTCCATTGAAGTAAAGTTAGATTCAAATGAAAATAAATTTGATTCACAAATAACAAAGCGGAATGCCCATTCATCCCAGTTGAATCCCAATGAATTAAAGTCAATTGACGACGCAAAGAGATCAAATCATGAACGAAAGTTAGATTCTCAAAGCAAGGAGAGCGCTCGGGAAGCAGGACAAGAAGTTGCAGATAAAAGAGCCGCACAGACAAAGTTACCTCCTAGTGACGCAAAATCATCGACACTTGAAGAACTAGGAGCAGATCTTATTGAAATGGACGAAGAATATACATCAGAGGAAGAGTTACATCAAGAACTCCTAGATAGGAGAAGTAAGAGTAATGTTGTAATAGAACTGGCGCCGAAAACTAGTAACAAAAACAGAATGGAAAGTCTTGGAGGTGGTGAAGTGCCTCCCGCAGTTAAAGGTACCTCAATAGGGACTAAACTAGAGCGGCCTAATAGAATACCGGCAAGATTTTGTTGGACAGACACCGTAAGAAAGAATTGATGTTTGATAGATAACTATTTAGATTTATTACTTATAACAATATACTGTAATTTTATTATATTAGATAAATATCATTTTCACAGGTTTTTCAATCTCTTACCATATTTCTACTTATTACCGCCAAGCACACTTCTCTATTGTTTAAATTTCGATTTAGAGATTCAGATTACAGCCCCTTCATGCTACTGTCATTTCTCTATCCGAGATTGCGGCATCCCTTACTAAACACCCTCCTTCCCAAGGAGAATTGTCGTAAGGGCGTTAAGCAAACGGGCTAACATAGAAGAAACTAGCCTGGACCCTTTGCAATATAACACATTGTGCCAACCGAAATTGAGATAAAGCAGGCAGATTATGAGGTCGATGATGATTGATATCAATTCAATTATCTTACTACCCAGGTGATTAGGTACACTTTTCATTATTTTCTTTTAAAGTAACTCAAATTTAATGTTCTGTTTACATGTTACACTCGTATTATACGCAGTGTTGTCGTTGACCCTAGATCTCTATTACACTAGAATGCACCTCGCTCAACTGGTTAGTTGCATTTCCAACTAACTGATAATTGGAATTCAGTGGCAGATTCTCTATAAATATTTGTGCACAGACTACTGAAATGAATAATTTTAATTGGATTACGGTCTTTACATTGCATATTATAGCCTGATTTTTAATGAAATAGACCAAAGTAACAGTACCAATCGACCTATTTTTTTTAAATGTTGCAAACGTACAAGCATAAAGTTGTAATACGGCTTCACTTAGTCGATTTATTGACATGATCGATTTACAATACTAATTAGAAAGGTATTTTAAATAAAATTAGTTATTAGGTTTTCCTTAAAAAATCTAATAGCATAAAAAAATAAGACATGCTTTTGTAACTAACCCAACTATTAACTAACTATTACCGAATCGCTTTTGTATTTTATAAATAATTTAATAATAGCTCTCCCACAGTATAACATAATATATGTCATAGTACTAAAACTTTTTAGCACTGTTGATACATCTGTTTTCGATTAACATCAAGCTCGCAAATTCATTATTAATGGTATTGGTGGTGGGCTCCGATTTCCGCATTTAGACTCAAGAATGGTCCTTTATGCGTCGAGGAAAGGTTAGGTAGTTGAGCCAACCAAGCTCTTTCCAGAAACGCAGAAGCCTCCTGGGGCGTACACAGTCTTCTAGGATTGATTTTGTATCAGGTGTTTATTATTAATGGTAATCAAATCAAAGTATTCGAATTAATCTCGATTTGGTTCTGATTCGTGTTGCGTGAATGAATCATCTAGAATCGATACTGCTAACGATTCTTAGTTATTCTAACTAGGTATCGATATGCTTTAGTGATTTGCTCGTGTCAGATTGTATTAGATATATTTATTTATTGATTTTTACATCATTAATCTTTTGTTCAAAATAAAACAGCCTCAAAATAAAAAAAATATAGCAATAGACGAAACTTACAAATTATGAATAAATAGGCCAGTTATAAAATATTTCCCCGTGTTCCTGAACGTTTAACATTTTAAAGTTATTTTAACTTGAAAACGCAGGACATTACGTGACGTTGCGCTTTGAAACCCTCTTGGCCAATGAGCTTTAGTCGCTGACGTTGAGGTTGGCTTCTACAATTTAATAAAATATAATCATATAATGTTACGCCAATGGCAATTATTGAATATTAGCTCTACCTGGCACATCTTACAATACAACTTAAAATAAATCATAAACTTTTAAATAAGAATAATCGTCTTCCATAAATTGTATTAACATTTCTTTAATTTGCCATCCTTACGGGTGGTATTTTTTCTACAAATTGAATGGACCACACGGAAAGTAGGTATAGGGCATAACCAAATAATAAAAAAGGAATAACACAAATAAGTTTACACTTGAAGGCGTTCTTAGGTAACATACGTTTGTTTATATAAAGTTTCATCGCAAAGACAAGAAAATTGGCTCCACACTCGCGGGCATTTTCAGAAGACCCTATTAAAGTTTTATCACAACCGGATCACTTTCGAATCGTAGTTATATTGCCATTAAGATTATTATCAAACTGCTTTCATAAAACTATATTGCGCTATACAAGTATAGCTGGACCCCTAGGGATGCAACTATGACACGGCTGTAACCATTATAATATACATTCAAGGGCGATATTACACAGAGTTATCTCTTGATTCTAGACACACAGATAAACATACTTATATACGCTTGTTTGTACGAAAATTCGGTCTTACCCTGGTCTGATCGGTTCTTTGAGGCCGTAGTTTCACTTCGGTTGAGCCAATATGGATACGCTCGACCGAAGTAAGTGTTAAGATTGAGGTTACTGGAAGTCTTACCACTCCTCTCGTTTATCATTCTAGGAGGTCGCACTTAAAGGGCAACGCACTTGTGCCTTTTTGAGTTGCAAGTATCCATTAGCAGTGGCAGTCACTATTAGTTAAGCCATCTGCACGTTTGCTCCGTTTTCTATCAAAAATACTACCTTTTTCGTTAATTATCAAGACTAACTTGTAAGTTTCATAATTCATCATCACTTATATATATAATAATATATAACACTTAATATATAACAGCCTTTAATAGTCCACTGCTGAACCTCCTTTCCTCTCATTAGAAAGGTGGTTTTGGGAGTCTCGCTGGTGGTCGGGCGCATTGAGGCGCTGGGCTTACGGGTGGCCCTAGATAAGACGGAGGCTCTCTTATTTCATGGGCCCCGTCGTGGTCCACCCCTTGGCGCCAATCGTGGTCAACTCGGTCCTCGTACCGGTTCGGGCCCAGATGAAATATCTGGGCCTGATCCTCGACGGGAGGTGGCTCTTCGACGAGCACTTCCGACAGCTTGCTCCAAAGCTGGTCGGCGCTGCGTCTGCCCTAGGGCGACTTTTGCCCAATTTGGGTGGACCCAGCGTCGCGACAAGACGGCTGTACACGGGGGTTGTCCAGTCACTGGCACTATACGGTGCACCGGTGTGGGCGGCGTCTCTGACCGCCCAGAATAGCGGCAGGGCGGCAGCACGGGACCCTTACCTTCCGGCTGACGCAGGTGCTTGCCGGGCACGGTTGCTTCGGAAAGTACCTGCACTCGGTCGCTAGGAGGGAACTGAGTCCCCGCCTGCCACCACTGCGAGGCCTACTATACCAGGCTGGCCAGACGGGTTGGTATAGGGTTTGTTTCAAGTTTTCCTTCTCTTTGCAGCCCTGTTGTCCTGCGTAGTTTGCTCCCTTAGTCGGCGCTGACACTCCGTATTCTTAATCCGGCATCACCACACGGCAAATTCAAGTTTCATAATAATATTTCAGTTTTAAAGAGTCACAAATTGCCTAAAATTGTTCTTAAAATATTGTCACACTTTTCTGCAGAACTCAATATTTATAGGACTTATATAAATTGTTGACAAGTCATCCAAACAACCAATACATATTATAGGACATGTAGCGACCTTGGATTGTCTGCCAAGAATCGTATTTCTTAACAACTAGTGACCTCAGAGGGTAGAAAATTAGCCTTTCACGCCCCGGAGGGCGTCAAATTAATCATTCGTACAGGAAAGTAGTGACTTGCAATTTGGTGATTATCGACGAATATAGATGCGAGAGACTTGTGCGGAGTCAGCTAATCTATGACATTGATGGAAAGCTTATCTAGGAGAACTGAGTTTTGTCATAATAGAGCTTAAGTTTATTTATCTCTGTATTATCGTTGAAATGCCTTTAAGAACGTGGACACATAAATAGAACCATTTTTTGAAATCTTACATCGGTACCTACGTAAGGTATATAATAATTGTAAGGTAAGTGCAATAAATATCTATTTTCAGAAGCGTTAGCAACTTAAATTTTTTTATATATTGAGTACCAGCGGAAATGAGAAATGTTGTCCTGTTTGAAAAAATACCTAAGAATTTTCCTTCTGGTCTCATAATTAATAATAGTAATAACTAGGCCGAGCCTGTACTATTTATATAAACATGCATATATTTCTAATTACATACATATTATATATAAATGACACCCAGACACAGAACAAATGATCGTGCTCATTACACAATTATTTGTCCTTGGTGGGATTCGAACCCACAACACCTGGGACGCACAAGGTCGACAACCACTAGACAAACCAGGCCAGTCAATTGTTTGACTGGCCTGTTGGCAATTGATGTCGACAACCACAACAAATTAAATAAAACAGGAACTCTTTCGGGTCTCATTTAAACCCCCTTTAAACCCCTTCATCATGATCATCTCAGCCGAAAGACAACCACTGCTGGACACAGGCATCCCCCAAGGCACTCCACAACGACTGGTCCTGTACTGCCCGCGTCCAACGGCTTCCCGTGACCTACCAAGAAACATGCCTATATACCCACTTAAATATAGATAAACAAAGTTTTATTAGAGGAACGAAATAAATACCTAGCCGCGTTGGCAATAGTCAATCTAAACCATCTGAGATCTAATTCGATAACATATAAAAATCGCATCAAAATTGGTATATCTATTTAGAATCAACTGTGACACATAGACGCGTACAGTACAAATGTATGTATAAAGATTAGCGACTTGGTACCGTCAGGTATACCAGAATATCATTGAAATGTTTATTTCACTTTCAAATACCTTATTTTAATAAATTGGCAAACTAAACGATAATACTACTGTAATCATCATCATCTACAGCCTTTAATAGTCCATTGTTGGACATCGGCCTCTCCGTAGAAAGGAGGTTTTGGCCTACTATACCACGCTGGCCAGACGGATTAGTATAGGGTTTGTTTCAAGTTTTCCTTATCTTTCTTTTTTTAAGAGGGCAAACAAGCAGACGGGTCACCTCATGGTAAGTAACTACCGCCCCCCTTAGACACCTACACCTCTATAATTACAAGTGCGTTACCGCCCTTTGAAATCAGTCTCGCAATATACCCAAAAATATATAATAGCCTTCATTATGTAACTAATCTGACAGGATAAAGGACCACATT